CTGTGCGGTGATCGCGGGGAACAAGGTTTGCCGCCCGGAACCCGCCCTCCAAAAGTGGCCGCAGAAAGGAAAGATGGCCCCGATCACTCTGCTGAGGAGCTCTAGCTTTAAAGCGACCGGGCGCCTTTCCTGGGGACCTCGCCCGGAGGGCATGCATGCTGGGGCTGGGGGCTGCAGAAGCCGCATCTCTGGCTAACTGGGGGCTGAGAAAGTACCCCCATCACACTTGGGTTCCCCATCTCCTTCCCACCCATCCCCCACCGCTCACAGACGCACTTGCCAAACCAAAATTAGTCTCAAGTCATCAGACAAAGTCCTAAAAGGCACACAGCGGGACACAGACACACACTACCCCATTAATAATCTTATATCCTAAGCACACAGTCAACTACAGCACCCACACCCATGCACACTGCACCACAAAGGCTGGGAAATACCCCTGCAGAGGAATAGTTCCCAGTGGAAGGGGGACAAAGCAGGGACACACTAGTGGTGCCCACCCTCACCTGGTCACTCACATACCCAGAATAACTGGCAACCACAGGTGCAGGATGGTCCACAAACCCACTTCCAAACAAGGACACCCTCATATGAGCCCAAAGCAGCCCCAGCAATCCAGACAGTCACCAGAACACAGGTATGCATGTTGACACAGATACCCACAGAGACAGTCACCTATAAAGCCATAACTCCGTATGGAGCAGGACATGGCGACAGGTCTGTCTTCCTGGCCCTTGGGAGGCTGAGACGGGGAAGCTCAAGGCCTGCTTGGGCTACAGAGTGAATCTGAGTGAGGCCAACTTGGGCAATTTAGAGGCTGTCTTAAAAAAAAAAAAAAAAAAAAGGCCAGATGTGTTGGAGCAGTTTTTGTTTGTTTTTCAAGACAGGGTTTCTCTGTATAGCCCTGACTGTCCTGGAACTCACTTTGTAGACCAGGCTGGCCTCGAACTCACAGAGATTCACCTGCCTCTGCCTCCCGAGTATTGGGATTCAAGGCAAATGCCACCACTGCCCAGCTGGAACAGTTTTTATCCCAGTACTCAGGAGGCAGATCTCACTGAGTTGCAGGCCAGCCTGGTCTATATAGTGAGTTCCAGGCCAACCAGGGATTCATTGGGAGACCCCCGTCTCAAACAAAAAACAAACAGACCTCCACAAAAATCAAAATAAACAGTGAGCTGGGTGTGGCTTCGGTGTTAAAGCAGTGTACTAACCTGGCATGACGACAAGGCCCTGGGGTTTGGTGCCCGATGTCAGAACAAACACAAACAAACAACCCTTGGAACTTACATCCAGTCATCTACCCTAATGCTTTCATTCTACACATGGATACTGAAGACATCGATGATTGCATGCATACACAGATACACACACCCACAGGGAAAGACACACAGACGTGGAGCCACACAGATATTCAAAAGCTCAATATTTTGTTAAGCCGGGTGGTGGTGGCGCACACCTTTAATCCCAGCACTCAGGAGGCAGAGGTAGGCAGATCTCTGAGTTCAAGGCCAGCCTGGTCTACAGAGCAAGTTCCAGGACAGCCAGGGCTACACAGAGAAACCCTGTCTCGAAAAACAAAAACAAAAAATAAATAAATAAATAAAATTGTTGTTACTGAGACAGGGTCTCACTATGTGAAACCTTTTTCTGACTGGAACTCACTATATATAGACCAGGTTGGCCTCAAAGTCACAGGGTTCTGCCTGCCTCTGCCTCCCGAGTGCTGGGATTACAGGTGTTCAACACCACACTCAGCCTTTTTTTTTAAAGATAGGTTCTCACTAGATGACCTCAGGCTTCTGTGAATAAGTACAGAGGTGACAGGTCTCAATAGCCACCATGTCCAGCAACACTTATTGAGCAGCTATTGTGTGACAGACAGCAGCTGGCTCTGGGGACACACCTGTGACTCAGAGTATTGCCCCTGCCTTAACACAGCTGTTATTTTAGTGGGGCTGGGCCTGAGGGATGCCATTGCTGACAGGCTACAGTCACCCAGTTACTGTAACAAACCCCACACGCCCACATACACCTGTTCACACATCGACCTGCAATTAGACCGGCGCTCGACACACCCACCTACAAGAATACTGACATCTACACATAAACAAGCCCACAGGATGGATGTGCGCACGCACGCGCGCGCGCGCACACACACTCACTCACTCCCCACCCCACACTAAGCTCCAGAGCAGCTTAGAGCAGAAATCTCCTCACTAACCCATTAACAGGTGTGTAAAGCAGGCGTAAGAGTTTGTGAGGACAGTCCACCTTGATGCATGCCCAGGACCACCCTGCACCTTGGACTTCAGAAGGGTGTCTGGAGTTCCCATCAGCCCTTCATCATAGCCCCCAACCCGGAAGCCAGACCCCTCTCACCCACAGCCTTGGCCTCCCATCCAGCCAGCCTAGAATTTTGGGCTTTTGGACTACCCACTGCCCACAGGCTGGGTAGGACAGAGGAGCTTCTGTGAGTCCCCCCAGGACAGAACTGAGTATTCTGGGAAGCCCTGGAGAAGCTTGGGAGGGAAGCCTCCTAAGTGTGGCTAAAAGGAGGTCTAGCCAGCCTGGACGTCAATGTGACCCCATCAGTGTGACCCCACGGAGACCCCCTCTAAGGAGCTCTCTGTTTTCCAGGTCCCAGCTGCACTTCCCTGCTGCCCCACAGACTTACACCCAGGCATTGCTCACGGAACACTGCAGACCACAGGAGCGCTCTACAGCAGACAGCTGACCCACCCACCACTCCTTCCCCTGATGGTGGAGCTAGCCCATCGGGCTGGGCATTTCACCTCACCCTGACCTCTAGGACGCGAGTCAGCTGCCCAGCTTTGTTGCTGCTCTGAGTGAGCGGGGCAGGGCCCACCCAGGTCCCTCCCAGACGGACGTTCCCCGCTGCGGTGCCCCCTGTACCAGGACCTGGGGTTGGGGATGGGAGGAGACAGCTTCCCACCCCCACCCTAAGGGACTTCAAAGTCAAACCTCCCGCCTAAGCACCCTAGGCTGGCAGACACGTGGCGGGAAGTCTGCGATCAGCCTCCGGCCCAGAGCTCAGGTCAGGGCTGTGAGCCCCACACACCAGGGTGCACGGCTGCCGACCACCTCACGGACCCGCACCGGGAAGAGAAGGGGGCAGACACACAGTCGCAGGAAGGATGCAGTCAGACCCAGACAGGCGACCCCCGCTGACAAAGGGCAAGCGAGCGCAGACAGACACAGAGGGCGGGAAGCCAGCACCACGCCTGCAGACAAAGAGACGGGAGGGGCGGGGCCGGCGCCTCCGCCCCGCCCCCCGCCCAGATCCCACAGGCTTGCTGTCCTGCTGGGAATGCCCACAGCAGACACCTCCCACCGCTTAAGATAAAATCAGAGTTCCGAAGGGCAAGTAAGCCGAGTGGACTTAGAGAATAAGAGAAGGGTGTCTGCAAGGTGACCCGCATTGCCCAGAGTGTCTTGTGTGCCTCGTAAACATCCATTTTAGCTTTCCGGAACCCCCTAAAAACTGCTCTGAACTCGCCGCGACCCCTTCCCCAGGGGTATAGTGGCAATCTGTCCAAAGCCCCGCACCTTCCTCTGACAGATCTAAGCCCGGACCTCTTCAGGGCCGAGAGTGTCCAAGGCAGGAGACACGCCTTTCCCACGAAGGGCTGCCCCCAGCCCCTGGCCTCAAAGGGGGCTGCTGGCCAGCCTCAGGGGTGGGAATGTGGCCAGTCCTGGGAACTGGGCCTTACCAGGTGGGAGTGCGTCCCGAGTCCCGCTGGTTTCTGGGGCCTGGTTTGGGTCTAAGGGTTGGGGTGGACCTTAGGAAGAGCTGCGCTTCTGGGGGACTTCTGGAGGTGCTCTGGAAGCATACCGAGGTGCTAGACAGGGTGGGACCTAAGCTCTCAGGTGGTTGAGTTTGGAGGCAGATCTAGAAGGACCGGCTTGCAGGAGGGTCCTAGGGACCCTGGCAGAGGCCTGAATTGAGGGCAAGTCTGGGGTTGTGGCCTGGGGCTCATAGGCTGGTGTCGTCTCTGCCGGAGTTACTGGGTTTCACACAAGCATGCTTACACCTGGTGCTCCAGGTCTGTCTCGTGTGAGCTCAGGAGATTCCTGGAGGGTGATCACTCCCCTCACTGAAGTGTCAGGAGCTCAGGTAAAGCAGAGTTGGCAGCGCCAAGGGTGCAGAGCCCAGGCCTTTGCCCAAGTGGGCAGATGCTCCACCCCCAGCCAGAAGGCCTAAGAAATCCTGTCATCTCCTTAGACCATTGAGAAGCCTTCAGACAGAGAGAGAGACAGAGACAGAGACAGAGACAGACGGGGAGGAGGGGGGACGGGCAGGGCAGTGCCCCCTTCCTCCCCCCCCCCTTACTGTTCGGCTGGGAAGGGCGGAGGTGGGCTCGGGAGGAAACAAGCTTAGAGGCGGCGGGAAAGCAAGGTCTACATTGTATTGAAGCCTTATTTATCCCACAATCAAGCTGGCCCGAGGAGCCCGCTACATTGTTAAAGGAACTTGTTGACGGCTCAGTTGTCTCTGACCCTCCCAGACCAGAACCTGGTGGCTACCAGACTTCCCAGGGGGTTAGAAATGTCCCTCCTCTGGCCTCAGTTTCCCCAACTGACTACTGGGGGAGGGGATCTGCACCTCAGGACCGCTTTGGTAGATTTTATTTTTAAATCACTACTTAGCCCTCACCAGGAACTATTTACCCTGAGATGTCCGGTCCACTACTTTGGACATCCCTTGAAGAAAGTACATGAGTTAAGACGGGGACATTGTTGCCTCTGTTGCAGGGGCCACGTTTTTTACATTATGATTTATATTTGTGCTGCTTCTCCTGGGTCTCCAAAAAGACAGTTGATGCTGAATAACGGATGGCTGGTGTCACGAGAGTCAAAGGGATCCTGGCTTCTCCATCACCCTGCATGATCCCTACCTCGCCTCTGGGCCACTCCCCACTCCAGTTCTCCAGGAAATGTGCCAAGGGTTTGGGGGAACATTCAACCTGTCGGTGAGTTTGGCAGCTCAGACAAACCATCGACGGTTGAGTGGACCCCGAGGCCTGGAACTGCCGTCCACCCCATCCCCATCCCCACCGTCTAGATCTGGGAGATCCCCCAGGCAGCCTGGCATCCCCGCCCCCAGGCCACAGCAAAGGTCACAATCAACATTCATTGTTGTCGGTGGGTTGTGAGGAGGAGGTCAGACCCACCGGGGGGATGAATGTCACTGTGGCTGGCCCATACAGCAGTCTCAGGGATAAGGACAGGACCCCTTAGAAGCCCCAAATTCTTGCTCCCCTTGAGGAGATGGGCTGGTATCTAGGATCCTGATGGGCAGATTGGAATTAGGAAATAAACCCTGGAGGATTAGATGTTGGGGGAAATCATAAAGTGGGGCCTCCGTGGGTAGAAACCATTCCTGAAAGGATGGATGTTTGCTCAGTGAGGTTTCTGGAATGGGTGAATGGTAGATGGGCTTGTGACAGATAGATGGGTAGGCTGGTGGACTAGTGGGGTGGAAGGGTGCCCTAGCCAGTGGTGACCTCCAACCAAGCACCTTTCCGAGCTCAGGCTGAGGCCTCCTCTGACAGGTAGTGTTGGAAATGAGAGCTGGCACATGCTGGGATGCAGCCTGCCTGTGCTTGGGGCCTCTTTCCCCTCCTTTGGGGCTCCCAGACCCCAGCCTTGAGGCTGCTGAGCTAACTGTCGGAGGAAGAGTTGGGAACTCCACTTTGTAGCCGAGGACAAACAGCTGAGGTGTCTATTAGCATATCAAAGCTGACACTGGCTGCTGAGTACTCCAGCATCCCCCAGTCCCTGCCTGTTACAGGGTCCTTCTGGCGGGCACACTCAGGCTGGGCTTGCCCTTTCCCCAGCTTTTCGGGTTCCTTCATAACCCCGCCGCCGCCGCTTTGGTTAGATGGTCTTTTCACTTTTTTTGTTTGTTTTTTTTGGGGGGCCTCTTGGCCGCCCATTCCAGGTTTCCTTCTCTCCCTCTCCCCACATGACCTGGCTCAGTCTGCTGGTCACATCCACTCGAGACTCTCCCAAAGGTTGCCTATACTGTCCCTTTATCTACAGTAAAGCTCCTCAGCCCCTTAGGAGCAGTCCTGCTCTCCTTTCTTTCTGTCATCCACGCTTCATGACTAAGTTCTCAGCCACTGGGGTGGCCATGAAAGTCCCTCCGTGAAGCCAGAGCCTTGGGACCCAGCCCTTGTCTCCCCGTCCCCATTCCATGCACAGGCCCCCTTCCGAAGTACTGGGATTTTGCATTACTTGCCCTAACAAGGACTCAAGGCCACCAAGACCCTTCCCCAGCCCTGAGGAAGGAAGAGAAAAAAATTAGTAAATCAATGTCAGTGTTTGGCCCTGGGGCGGTGTTCTTAGCCATCCCCCCCCCCCTCACCTAGCTGGCCTGCAAGGGTTGACCTCCCACATGGAGGGGGAGGAGACCCTGGGAAGCCTGGGGGTTCAGTGGCTCCTAGTCTACCTCCAGCCCACACAAACACCATATACCCCCTGGGCAGGTATGTAAGAAGCCCCCAGAGATAATGAGGGACCCCCCAGAGCCTGCCTGCTCCACCCTCTCACATCCCCTCAAGAGAGAAAAGCCGCAGGAGAGGCTTTAGCTTCAGGGTCGGAGAGAAGCAGGAGCCAGGCAGTGTTTTCCTTCAGTTGCTCTTTTGCCCAGTCATGGGGACTTTCAATCTGTGGACAGATTACCTGGGTCTGGCAAGCCTGGTTGGGGCTCTGCATGAGGAAGAGGTGCCTAATGTCAGGCTGGACCCCAAGCCAGAGCCCAAGCCGATTCCAGAAAGCCGGAAAGCCAGCAAGGAATCCTCAACAGCTCCTGAACGCTTGTGCTCGTTCTGTAAGCACAATGGTGAGTCCCGGGCCATCTATCAGTCCCACGTCCTGAAAGATGAGGCCGGCCGCGTGCTGTGTCCCATCTTGAGGGATTATGTGTGTCCCCAATGTGGGGCCACTCAGGAGCACGCCCACACTCGACGCTTCTGCCCACTCACCGGCCAGGGCTACACTTCTGTCTACTGCTACACCACCCGGAACTCTGCAGGCAAAAAGCTGACCCGGCCTGACAAGGCAAAGACACAGGATGCTGGCCACCGCCCAGGAGGAGAAACAGCAACAGGTGTCTATGCGGGTGGTTTAGGGACTGGGTGGAGAAGGGACCCATTCTAGGCTCTCAGCTCTTTGGGGTGTTTGTGTGTGTGATGCCAGTATCTTGGAAACTAAGCAACCCACTGTGTAGAGCTGAGAGCATTCTGAAAGTGTGTAGAGCATGGCTCGGGAGTGTGGGTTTACGATGCTGTGTGGTCTTTCACAAGTCACTCTCCCTCTCTGAGCAACCCAGGCATGTATGGTGGCAGTCAGATGTTGTGGGGTGCAGTTGTGAACTCTGGTTTCTGCTTGGGAGTCAGAAGTCAGGAAATTTGGGGGAAGCTGTTAAATCCCTTCCGAATCCTGAAACCATTTATTCATTTGCCAAACAATATTTTCATGTCTGTTCTGCACTGGGTGCCGGGTTAGCAGTGAACAAGGTGTACAGCAGTTAAGACAGTGGCAGTTGAGACGGTGTGAACTGGGGAGCAGTTGGCTCAGGTGAGGGGGTCCCAGGACTTCCTGGAGAAGGTGACTTCTAGGAGTCTTAATTCCTTCAGTTCCGGTGTGGGAGGTGGGAAGTGTGGATTGGGCCTTGGAAACTATCATAAAGTTCAGTGTGACTGGGTATGGGTGTGTGCTGTGGGGTGGCCAGAAATCATTGGGTCTTTGGGGTATCACTTTAGGGAGTTCGGAGTTAGGGCTCGTGCATAGTGTGTAAGATTCTGAGTTTGCTCCCCAACCAACCATAAAAAGTGAGTTTGGGGTGCTATGTCAGCACAGTGACTCAATGGGTAAGGACTGCCTGTAATTCTGAAGACCCAAGTTTGATCCCTGGGATCCACATGGTAGGAGAGAACTGATTTCCTTCAAGTTGTCCACTGACCTCCATGCCACAAACACAGCAAGAAGGCTTCTCAGACCAGGACCGAGGGGTTCCAGAGCCCCATGGCTGTCATGAACCTCAAGGCAGCAGGGCAGGAGTTGGGGGACAGCTGGAGAGACTGCAGTTGGACCCCGTAGGAACTTGCTTGGTGGGTCTGTGCTGTTACAGTGTGGGGGCCTCCCCATCTCCCCCACAAATGCAGAGTACCACCCTCCACTTTCAGGCCTAAGCACCTGAAACTAAAAGGTTTTCATGGATTTTAAGTGTGTGGGTGGTTTGCCTGCATGTATGCCTGTGGCCATGCCCTTCAGAAGGGGGTGTGGGATCCCCTGGAATTATAGATGGTTAGAAGCTGCCATGGGGGTGCTAGGAATTGAATCCTAGTCCTCTGGAAGAGTAGCCCCCACTCTTGAACTAGAGAGCAGGAGCTCCTGTCCTGTTGTGTTTTTATGGTTTCCATGCTAATGGACCAGGATTTCAGAGGCAAATTTCAGAAGGAAACACTTCAGGGTGCCCTAGTGTTTCCTGTTTATTCTTTCTTTATGTTGTTTTGTTTTTCTTGAGATAGTGTTTCTTTGTATAACAGCCCTGGCTGTCCTGAAGCTTGCTCTGTAGACCAGGCTGGCCTCCAACTCAGAGATCCACCTGCCTCTGCCTCACTAGTGGGATTAAAGGCGTGTGCCACCATGCCCAGCTGTTTTTTGTTGTTGTTAGGCTTTTTGTTTTTTTGTTTTTGTTTTTTTTTTTGAGATAGTGTTTCTTTGTGTAACAGTCTTGGCTGTCCTGGAGCTCCCTCTGTAGACCAGGCTGGCCTCAAACTCACAGAGATCTGCCTGCCTCTATCTCCCATCTCCCCAGCACTGGGATCAAAGGTGTGCGCCACCATGCCTGGATGTTTCTTTTTTGTTTTGTTTTGAGACAGGGTTTCTCTGTGTAACAGTCCTGGCTGTCCTGGAACTCCCTCTGTAGCCCAAGCTGGCCTGGAACTCAGAGATTCGCCCCGTTGGTTTCTTTTGAGGACCTCTGCGCTAAATCTAAATCCCCAGTCCGTTTGTTTCTTGAATCTTTTTTACACACACAACTTGCAAGAATCAGTCCTCTCCTACCATGTGGTTCTGGGATAAAGAACTTGGATGGTCAGGCTTGGCCACAAGCTCCCTTTTACCCACGGGTACATTTCACCAGTCCTCAAGAGATGCAGATAATTTTATTTCATGTGTGTGGATGTTTTTCGTGCATGTATGATTGTGTACCACCTGTGAGCAGTCCAGAACAGGTATGAGAAACCCTGGAACTAGAGTCACAGCTGCTTGTGAGTGGCCACATGAGTGCTGGGAACCACGTGGGTCCTCTGCAAAAGGTGCTGGTTGTTGGTAAGCCAGCTCCTACTGCTGCTGTTTTTTTTTTTTTTTTTTTTTGAGACAGCACTCCATGTTTGTGGCTCGAGCTGTCCTGCAAAATGCTGGGATAGCAGATGCTTGCATGTCTGATACCTCTGCAGGCCTCAGTTCCTGTGCGGCCTCAGGAGGGAAACTGAAAGTTGTGGGTGGGACACTGAAGGTGACTCAGAGGTAGACAGCTGGCTGCTTCACCGTGGTGACTTGTTGGTTGTGTGCTTGTCTCCCTAGGTAGTCTGGGAGCTCCTAGAGGGTGGCAGTGCACTGGGGTGTCTCCCTTAACTCTACAGTGGAGCTCAGGTGAGGATCCCATTCTTTGGAAGTTTTTTGTTGTTGAGACAGTCTCTCCATTTAGCTCAGGGTGGACTTGAAAGAACATGCCTCAGCCTCCCTGTTGCTGGAACAGACATGAACTCCCATGCCTGCCTGTTAGAGTTTTGTTTCCCCCTCCGGTTTTTGTATTTCCCGAGACAGGGTTTCTCTGTGTAGCTCTGGTGTCTGTCCTGGAACTCACTCTGTAGCCTAGGCTGGCCTCGAACTCACAGAGATCCGCCTGCTTCTGCCTCCCGAGTGCTGGGATTAAAGGTGTGTGCCACCACGCGTGGTGCCTGTTAGAGTTTTATGTTGTTGGTGTGATGTGGAGATGGACCCCAGGGCCTTTGCACCACAGCCCTATTCCTCCCAGTGGGGGTCTTAAAGGGACTCAGCCCTGAGAAGCTAGCAGTGGGGGCGTCTTAGAGATGACTTCTGAATTCGGAAGGGACAGGAACACCTCCTTGGAACTGGAGGTGCCCTCGCCAGCACACTGTCACAGAAAGCTGAGCACTGCATTCTGGGTGTAAGGGATGCAGGTCCCTTGCAGCCTGGCAGGGACACCACCTTCATCATTTCAGTAGCATTTCTGTGCTTTTGCTCGGGGTCCCGGGATGACAATCCCAGGTGTGGCCACCAGGTGGCGCAGCAGCCCAGGACGCCCTAGGTGCCACCATGAGTACCCCGCTCAGCCATCTGAGCCCCTCATTTCAGCATTTCTCTCCTCTGCTTTCAATCTCCAGGTTCCAAAAGTGGCAGGAAGCCCTCTGGACCTTCACCTTCGGCCTGCAGTCCCTCCACTACGGCCTAGGAGCTCGGAGTGGGGAGGTCCATGGGGTACCCTTGCCAAGGGTCTGCACACAGGCATGCTGGAGACCGGACTTGCTTAGGACTCTGAGGCTGGCCACAGGCTTGTTGGAAATCACCTGCCCTTCCCCTACCCCAGTCTTGCTTGTGTTGTTGGATCAGTACCCAATAAATGGAGAGGAGTGGAGCCTGGTCTTGGGACACGGTGGCGTGGATCTGGCTGGCAGGGATGCTTCTACATTACAGACCACAGCTCACTCCCGGTCACCTCCCACCCGACAGACTGCTCTTTGAATCTTGGGGTCACCTTGAGGAGCTGAATCAGGAGAATGAGGGCAGCGGTGAGGTTTTAAACCCCCAGCTACCCAGTGCATACTGATATGCAAAACGGGGCCTCCCCTTGCACTGAAGGTGCACAGGACTTGAGGGACAGGCTGCCTACACTCACCACCCCTGTCTCCTTCAGCTCCACATCCTGTGGGGCGCTGAGGAGAGCACTGTCTGGCTTCATCTAACTGGCCTGAGGCTTCACCCTCAGCCCATATCTTCTGGCGCTGAGGTTGAGGCAGGAATTGGATTTCCAGGGACCCCTTTGTTCCTGGCCTGGGGTGGGCTGGGAGCCAGGGAGGGGGGCTCCTTAGTAGTCCTGGGTCTGTGGGTGGCATTGGGGCAGCAGCAGCAGCTTCTTGCACAACCCAAAGCACAACCCGAGTCTCAGCCCCGAGACGGGGGAGGGACTAGTAGGGTTAGGGACAGCTGTGGCCTCCAGTCACAACCCTGCCTGTGTCACAGGCTCCTCCACGGGTTTCCCCATAAAGGGGCTGGATGGGGAGGCCCTGCCTCTGCTGTGAGAGTTGAGGTCTGAGCCAACCTAGGCATGTACTTCTGCAAACAGGATGACTACCCCGGCACAGCTGGACACTGTCATGTCCAGAGGCAGTTGTGGGGTGAGATGGGTGATTGGATCTCACCCTGCCTAGGAAACTTGGCTGTAACAGCTCCAGGGAGGCTTTGAGCCCTCTATTTGTGTATGGATGCATTTCCCATGTGCACACCGCCACCCTCCTAGACACTTGGGACACTGAGCTGTGGGGAGCCCCGACCAGTGTTCTGGCAGGAGCCTTCTGCGGGTGGAGAAAGGAAGAACTGGAAGAGAAGGCAGCTGCAGGAAAGTTGAGATTGGGATGGTCTGTGGGCAGAACATAGGGACTGGGAACATGGCCACCACAGCTGTAAATCACAGGCTCCTGACTGTATCATTTATTCCCTGCCTCCCCCAAAGTAACGTGGACAGCACAGGGAAAGACAGGCACAGGAGCAAAGAGCACCCCTCGTCCACGGCAACAGCTGGGAAGAACTGCAGCTCAGCTCAGGAGCCTGGGCTTCTGGGGCAGGGCTGAGCTGTCAGAGGACTTCCTGAAGCTCAGGTACCCTCAGCCTCGGCATATGGAACTCCAGGTAAGCTGACGGCCCCCATAGGCCTGGAGGGTTTGTGGGGTCGCAGGCTGGAGCAGCCTACAGGTCCCTCCAGCCCTGATCCCCTTTAGCAAGGCTCCCCAACCCCTTTGTCAGGTAAGGCAGAGGCCTGGCCTTCCTGCGCTTGAAGGCCTCCAGGTCCCGGTGGGTGCTCATAATCAGCCGACTGTAGAAGAAACGGAAACAGAGTACTAGCTGGGGCCTCCCCACTGCATGGGCCTGTCTCAGCCACACCTGCCAAGTGGCTTCTCACAGGTGCACAAATGGCAGGTGCAGGCACATCCTGTTCTTTGAATGTAAAAGCCTGAGACGTATAGGTCAGAGGTATTAGGATTCTCCCACGCAAATGTGGGGAAAGGCAGCCAGGGCTGGGGCCACCAGACCCCTGTGCCCCACACCTAGAGTCCTGCCTCAGTTTCCACTCTGTTCCCTATCCTCTCTGGTGACTTGAGTTGCCCTTACTTGAGACTGGAGAGCTCCATCACAAGGCCGCGCACTGTGTCTGTGGCATCCTGCATCCTGCAGGCCTCCTGGGCCCAGGTCTCTGTAGGGGGTCTATCAGGAGAGAGAGAAAGGAGCGGCCTGAGTGCTCAGGACGCCAGCCATTCCCTGGGGTTGAGGGCTTACAGTGTCCTGCCCATCTTCAGCTGCCCTCCCCTGCACCGAGAACATCCCACACCTGCCACACCTGCCGCCGTGCTTGGGCTGCCGCCGTGGCCTTCCCTGACCTCCTCCACTAATGAGCACCACCTGCCCTGGCCTGGACCCTGGCCCTCTCTGTTGTCTGCTCAAACCACACTGAATTCCAGTGCCTCTGAGGACTCTGGAATATTCTTTCCCAGTTTATCTTGATGATCAGATTTTAACTCCTCAAACGACCCCTAAACACTTATTTAACTCTAATTTGCTTTCCATGACCCCCAGCACTCAAGCTACTCTGGACGAGGACATGCCGCACCATTTCCTAAAGGGATGTGCAGCCTCTATGCATGAGCAGAGTAAGGGCCCTGTCAGCTCAGGCTGACAGCTGTCTCTCTCTGAACTTCCTATACTCAGGAGCTCCAGATCTGCCACACAGGCTCCAGGCACTAATGGTGGCAGCCTGTCAGGCCCTCGGCTTTCCTAGTTTCGTGGACTCTAGGACCCACACTGGGGTGGCACGGACTGTGGGCTCTTTTTCACTAACAGTGGGTAACATGGCTAACCTGCTTCTGGCACACTGTCACAGGGAGGGATGCTGACAGTGGCAGGGGAAGGGTACGTGTCACAGCAGCTGGAGGAGGGACAGGGACAAAGGAGGTCAGGTGGCATTCTAGCCCTCCCTCACCATTCCCTGACGGGAACAGAAACTTGGCGGTAAATCATTGATAAGTCTCTGCAGAGACACAGGCAGGCTCAAGTGGAAGGCCTGCAAGGGCCAGACAGGGTAGTGAGGAGGGGGGCAGTCCCTGGGGTCCCTGCCCAGAGCCAGAGTTTTCGGGCAGGTGCAGACTGTTTCTGCGCACAGTTCCCAGCCCCGACTAGATGCTCGTTTATGGAGCTCAGGACCTCCCAGGCTCCTCTTAGGACACCCATGCACAAAGGCTGGAACAGTCTAAGGTGCTGGAGGGACTGCCCCAGGGGACCCAGCTCCTAAGGACAGGCATTTTGGACGTGGACCATGGGCACCTGAGTTCCCAGGACATACGGTGCATGGCAGTTTGAAAGACAGGCCCAGCTCCCATTCTGGATTGAAGACTTTCCAGCCTACCTAGGCTGAGCTCTGGTCACTGCCTTCGGGGATCCTCCGATGGCATCTGGGCTAGGGGCAGGCCAGCCAAGGCCTGGCACACTCCCTGCAGGAAAACCCTGGAAAGAGTAGGGAGCGTGTGTGAATCACCGTGCCTGGCAGAAGGAAGCAGCACAGGACCTATGTTCACTTGAGCTGAGCTCCTACAGAGGAAGCATGATGCCAAGCCGGCTCCAGACAGCGCTCTGCCCTCCTCGCAGCTCTGTGCGTCGTGACACACTGAGTTTCACCCCAGTCACTCAGGTGTCCCAAAGGATCTTAAAGATCCCGGAGCAAAGCCTGGCGTAGAGGTGCACATCTTTAATCCCTGCGCTCAGGAGGCAGAGACAGGATTATTTTTGTGAGTTCAAGGCCAGCCTGGTCTACAAAGTGAGTTCCAGGACTAAATAGTGAGCCCTGTCTTGAAAAACCAGAAACCATGGCCAGGCTTGGTGGTACATACTTGTAATCCTAGAAATTTGGGGGCTGGAGCAGGACTGGTGCTTGTGAGTTTGGGACCAGCTCCTGGGTTTCAGGCTACCCTATGTGAGTGTGGTCATTGTGAAACTGATATCCTGCCCCCTTTAAAAAGAAGAAAAAAGACCCTGAAGCTGGGGCACATGGAACTCGGGGGGCGGGGAGGGGGCAGGGGTTGAGGTCAACGTGGCCTGCAGAAAAAGTCTAGGGACCCAGCGGCAGCAGCAGAAAGGAGGTGGTGTCAGGCGTGTCCTGTAAGGGAAAGAGTTTGCAAACAGGTTGGCATGGGAATTCATGAGGGACAGTGCTGGACTGGTGGTACAGACCTGGGAGGGCCATTCAGCCCAGCCAGGGCAACCTTGCAAGCTCCATCTAAAATGAAATGAAATATGACGTTTGTATTTGTTCATCCTACTACACTGCTGAGCTGTGTGGAAGAGAATCCCCCCTAAAAGGGACCACACTCCCAGCATGCCTGTGGGGTGTTACCTTTGAGAAAAGGGGCTATGGCACTTTAAGTCCTGGAAGCCTCAGCCAAATATGACCAGCCAATGCCCAATGCCCCAAACCTTGGATCTGTTTTCCCCAAGTACTAGGGATGAGCCCAGGGCCCACACACACCATTCAGCCATGCCAGCTGTGGTAGCTTCAGACCAACACTGGAGCTGTGAGGAAAAAACACCACATTCCTAGCAGGAGAGCACTGTACAAGGCTGAGCCTGTCACTGCAGGGTGAGCTGCAGGTGTGAGGTGACTGGCTGTGAGGTCAGCAGGAGACCCATTCCTGATCCTAGGTGTCCCTGTGTTGGGAGGTAGAGCCTGCCTTACAGCCTGGCTGGGCTGCTGCTGGCCTTCCAGTAGGAACATGCTCAGTGGCTGGGTCACCCCAGTTTGCTGAGGAATACCCAGTGTCAGAGATAATCACTCCCAGGCTGGCGCTTCCTGATGTCTGACAAGCTGAATGCCAGGTACCTTTGGTCTTGATAGGTTTTCTTTACAGGGGTGGGATGGAACCCCAGCTTCTCATAGTGCTAAGACAAGCCATGTTGGCCTACGCCACAGGCCTGGTGTCCTGAGAAGTATAGCCCAGCAAGTTCCCCAACAAGGATGGAAGAGAAGGCTTTCCCCATCTCTTTGGTGCTAGGATGGAACCCATGGCCTAGAAGCATGGCTGCCTGTTTCTTGGATTGAGCACTAGGTAAAATTCT